AAGAAACGCAAGCTATTTATAGCAATATGGGAAAATGCTCCAAATCACTTATAATTAAGAGAAATGCAAATTACACTAACTATAAGGTTCCTCCTCAGATCTATCAGTTTGACAAAGTTGAAGAAAAAAAGAAAATGGTAAATGTTGAGGGGGCTTCAGGAAAAAAAGACCACTGATGCACTACTGGTAGACCTATGAAACTGGTCCTACCATTCTGGCAAATAATTTGGAACGATGCCCCAAAAGTTACACAGCGCGTGTCTCTGACCAGCTGTGTCACTGCTAGGCCTATACCTCAAAGCAATCAAAGAAAAAGGAAAAGAATCTATACGTACAAAAATAGTTATGGCAGCTCTTTTTCTAGTGGCAAAGAAATGGAAACTATGGGGATGCCCATCAACTGGGGAATGACTGAATTATTTATGGTACAGGAATGCCATGGAAGACTATTACGTCATAAGAAATGATAAAATGGATGTTTCAGAGAAACCTGGGAAGACTTATGAACTGATACGGAGTGAAATAAGCTGAACCAGAAGAACAATTCATAACATCTGTCTTGTAGAAGTGAACAATTACGAAAGACTGAAGAACTGATCAACTAAATGAGCAACGAGAACTGATAATAATAATGGCTAACTTTTATATATACCTACTATAGGCCAAACACTGTGCTAAAGGGTTTGCAATTATTAATTCGTTTGATCCTCCACCACCCTGGGAGGTAGGTGCTATCATTATCCCCATTTTATAGCTCAGACAAATAGAGGCTAAGTCACTTGCCCAGGGTGACAAAGGACATAAAAAAATCTCTTTTTGGAGGTGGCCAAGAGAGGAATTTATTTTGCTTGACTATGGTTATATGACACAAGGATTCTTTCTTTCTCTTTTTTTCCTTTTTCCTTTCTTTCTTCCAGTAAGTGGAAGAGGTAGAAGGGAGAAGAAAATGAATACTGAAAACTGAATTTTTTAAGAAGAGGTAAATAAATAATTAAGAAAGGGATCTACTATACAGGAGTGCAAAAATAAACCAGGAATGGGATAGGAATCAGGAGAACCGGGCTCTAATGTGTGGCTCTGGTGCCAGCTGTGCGGCCCCTTCAGCTCCTCGTCTATAAAAATGTGAATTTAGATGGGCTAGATCAGCGGTGTCAGACTCAAAGTGAAACAGGGGCCACTAGAGGATACAGAAGGATCCCTGCAGAGGGCAAACCACAAATTAACATAACGTATAGTTTACTGCATTTTTGTTTATTTAGTTAAATCTTTCCCAACTACATTTTCATCTGGTCCAGGCCACACTTGGGGGTGCTGTAGATACATCTGACCCCTCAGGACAAGATGATTAGTTCTAAAGTCCCTTCCAGCTCTAACATCCCAAGCTCTATGCTCTAAAGTTCCTTCCATCGCAGACATTCTATGTTTCAGGTTCTAAGGTTACCTCTAACTCTGACTTTGTTCTAATGGCCCTTCCTTATTTGACATTCTGTATTGTATGGGCTCCTCTAGCTTTAATAGTCTATAAACTATTAGAACCTACCGTATGCAAACTGTTGTGTTCTGCACTGGTGTGGAAAACACACTTGAGACAAGACAATCATGCTTACTCTAGTTTCGTCTTGTGGCACTGACTACATCCTTTCAAATCCCTGATAAAAGCCCCCAAATAAAAGGCAGAACACTTGAAGAGAAGCAGATAGATATTTTATAGGAGGAAAATACATTTTCTTTGTTGTTCTCTGTAGGAAAGAGGGCTTTGTAAAGCATAACCACAAAGATCATAGGAGAAGAACATAGTGGATTTAATGATCAAAGGCAGGCAATAGTTCTGAACATCATGCTATGGAAGGGAATGTGAAAGAGCTGATAAAGATGAGAAAATAAAAACTGAAACCAAAAAAATTTTAGCCTTGTACAGTGTTCACAAATGTAGGCTATAGGCTTGTGGGGGGAGAGGGGTCAAAGAGCAAAGAAATCTAGTAGGAGTCAGGATATATGTTAGTCTGGAGAACTGGTGAAGCCTATGTGTTCTCCTACAGGGAAAAGTCTAATTTTGCAGGTGTACTCTACCAAGGCTGGTAGGGGGCTGAGTTTCTTTCACTCAAAATCTTCCAGCCGACCAGCCTTTTTTCATCAAGCAGAAAAATCCCTAGAAAAACCCAAATTTTCTAAGAATCTTCATTTTTTTTTCAATTGTCCTTGAGGCTCTTGGGTACAAGGATGCATAATTCCAGGCCAAAATTCCAATCATCTAAACATTTGGATTCGGTATACAAAATGCCACCATGAGGCAATCTGCACAGAAGAAGCACACACATCTATACTGCAAGTAAGATACAGAACAGTTTCTGTGCTATACTACACAGAAATTAATGACAAACTTGGACAAATGCAAAAGTCAAAGTGAGGATCCAGGGTACCTAAAACTACTATAATATGATTTCCCAAAGTAATTTAGCCATGGAAAACTTGGGAGCCTGAGATGTATTGAGAGAGCTCACAATCTATGGGTCCTGAGGAAATTTGATAGCCAAAGAAAAAAAAAGAAATTGAGCCTATTTTTATACTCTAACTTCCCATATGTAAGGTTTTTTTTTAATAAATAAATGATTTATTTTGATATTTTAGGAGAAAATATTTGCTAAAACTGGCATTTTTTCAAGTCAAGACATGGCTATCCAGCTCCTCTCCAAACCTTCCTCTACACAGCTACTAAATTTACGTACCTAAAGCACAAATTGTTTAACTGAATATGTCACTCCTCTGTTCCAGGCTCTGATGCCTCCCTACTGCCGCCAGAATAAAACACACACTCTTCGCTCAGCACTCAAAGCCGCCTACGATCTAATTCTACCCTGTCCTTCGGGGCTGACTTCACATTATTCCCTCTCACGCTGCCTTCTAGTCAAACTGGCCCGCTTGCTGCTCCCCCACACGAGGCAGGCTCTCATTGGCCCCTCTCTTTTCAGGGGGGCTGCCACACATTCCCCCTGCAGATCCACCTCTTAGGATCCTTAGCCTTCTTGAAGCTCAGCTCAAGGGCCGCTCCTAACAAATGAGCCTTCCTGATCCTTCCTCCACCCAACTGTTGGCGTCCTCCCCCTGAAAATTACTCTGTGTACCTATTTATATTGACTTATTTGTGTCCTCATGTTTCCCTCAGTAGATTGAAAGCTCCTTGAGGTCAGGGACTACTTCATGTTTATCTTTATATACTCAGCATAATGCCTTGCACAGAAAAGGCCCTTAATAAATGCTTGTTGAATGGATGGCTAGTTTCGTGGCTTGCCATGATCAAATAATTCATTGCCTAGTAGCCAGTCTCCTGGGAATGTCAAGAGATATAGAGGAATCCCTGCCCCTTCTGCAGCACACCGAGTGGACCAATGGAGGATTTATCAGTGGTCGTACATAAGAGACAACTCTTATTACTTTAAGGTATAGACGGAATACCTGCAGGAATGAGATCCTTAGATTCACTGTCTTATCCAAAACATCAAAGAAGGTATGGCAGGACAAGGGTTTATGTGAAAAAAAATGGTAGAGATTTCAGTGGGAATAAAATATCCATTTGAGACAAAAATGTGACATCGCAGCCAAAAAAGTTAACGAGGTCTCAGGCTGTAGTAAAAGAACCAACGTCCACAAGAAGGCCCACTGCCCTAGGCGTACCCTGTCTGGAAGGCTGTGCCACATTTTAAGAGAGCACTGACAAGTTGGACCATGCCTAGAAAAGGGTGAGTATGTTGGGGAGGGGCTAGAAAAAAAATTCCATAGGAGGCTCAATTTGAAGGAACTGTCTGGATTCCAGCCCTGCCTCAGGGGCTCTCATCTGTGATTAGCTGGGCTAGTCACTCATGTTCTCAGTGACCCCAGCCCTCTAAGACTCTGAGTTACAGCAGAGTTGCTAGTCTGAACTAAGAGTTCCCCATGCCAATCAAATCACAAGTCAGGACTCCCAAAACAGGAGATGTACTACACACACACACACACACACACACACACACACACACACACACACACACACTTTTTTGGTGAGGCAATTAGGGTTAAGTGACTTGCCCAGAGTCACACAGCTAGTGTTATGTGTCTGAGGCTGAATTTGAACTCAGGTCCCTGCTGACTCCAAGGCCAGTGCTCTATCCACTGTGCCACCTAGCTGCCCCAAAAACCACCTTTTTTTTTTTTGGTGAGGCAATGGGGTTAAGTGACTCGCCCAGGGTCACACAGCTAGTAAGTGTCAAGTGTTTGTTCTGAGGCCAGATTTGAACTCAGGTCCTCCTGACTCCAGGGCTGGTGCTCTATTCACTGTGCCACCTAGCTGCCCCCAGAAAACATGCATGATGTATTTTTTTTAAATGCCCAGAATGAACACTATAAAGTGAAGGGAGCAGAACCAGGGTAACAATGTGTGCTAACAACACTGTAAAAATGAAAAACTTTGAAAGCTTTCAGAAAGACGTCTGATCAGCACACTCAGGGATCAGCTGTGACTCTAGAGGGCCAATGAGAAAACACCATGAGAAGACACACCTTTCCAAATGTGGCCAACGAGGGAATCTGTTTTGTATGACTGTGCTTATTTGTTAAAATGGGTTTTTTGGTTGTTGTTGTGAGAGGAAAAGAAAATAAAGGTTTATTTAAAAAAAATTACTGCAACAAGACTGTGACTAGGAAAGAGGCCAGCAGCACTACGACCACCTTCACTGGGCACCAGATCTCTATTCATACAGCATGTGACCATATTAGCTTTAAGGCTATGCCTGACATTAGAAATGAGGTACCCAGGGCTCTTCCCCAAAGCAGACCCTGGGCTGCAGTTATTTATTTTTGTGTTTTATGTGTTTTGGGTCCTGATCTATAATTTCCTTTGTGTAGGGAATTCTTGCTATGGAAACTTACACTCCACTCTACCCTACACTCCACTACTAGCTGACAGCCTTTGGGGTTCAAATGCTTTGTAGAAACAGAAAACAAAAGTCACTGTGCCTTCTACTCACACGTTAGGCAGACCATGACTATGCGCACAGACAAATCTACCACCAACGCCCAATGCTCTGTCACTCGGGAGACGAAAAAGGGGATGATGATCTCTGCAGGGACGTAGAACTGCAGGGCATACGTGAAAAAGATCCCAATGGAATAAAGCAGCCTGACAGACTGGTACAACCTACAGAAAGAAGCAAAGTGACTTGGTTATCTCAGGAAGTTTCTTCAACCTAGTTTTACCAATTATTAACTTTGTGACTTTGGAGAAGTCATTTAAACTCTTTTAGGCACAAACGTCCTCATCTATAGAATGAGGGAATTAGACCAGATGATTTCTAAGCTTCCTTCCAGTTCATGAGCCCAACACTGAGCTCCTTAGAAACATCTGCTGAGCAGGGCACAGTGGTGCACACCTATAATACCTGCTATCTGAGGTGCTGAGTTGGAGCATCTCTTGAACTCGGGAGTTCTGAGCTGCACAGTAGGTTAAGTTGATCTGGTGTCTGCATTAAGCTCAGCATTAATATGATGAACCCCTTGGAAAGAGAGTGGGCAACACTAGATTGCCTAAGGAGGGGGTGAATCAGCCCAGGATGGAAAACAGAGCCAGTCAAGCCTCCCGTGCCAATCAGAATGGTACTGGATCCCTGAGTTGCCTCTGTACTTCCAGCTGGGCAAGACAGAAGGAGAAAGGGACAGAGGGAGGGAAGTAAGAAGGAAAAGAGAAAGAAAGGGAAGCAGGCTGATCACACAGGATCAAGAAATAAAGGCAGCTCGTGGCATCACAAGACATTAGAGCTGGAAGGAACTTGATATCATCCAGGCCAACCCATTCATATTACAGAGGGTACAAGCATCAATGAATTAACAAGGGGACTTGGGGAATGAAAGAAAAGGTTTTTTTCTCAAGTCGATAGATAGTAGTAGCAATCAATAATCGCTTTAGTGCTTCAAGTTTGGCCATTAGAAACAATAAGCAAATCAAACCAATACAGACACCAGCTACCCTGTGCTATATGGCAATAGCACCTGTGATGCGTAACACATTTTTTCTCTTAATTTTTCCTGCCCTCTCCACTCCTATTTCCAGGCTCAGTACAGAGCTCTTAAGTGTACAAACACTGCTGATCAGCCAAAAATCAGCTCAGGGCAATCAGCAGGCGTACCTCGTTTTCTGCTAAAAGCTTCTCCTGAAATAATCACATGCTCTGAAAACTGAATGCTTGTGAGGTCAAACTTTGGGCCTAGTACGTACACCATCTACTTTTTTAGAAAGTCTTTCACTGTTGCCCAACATTAATGGATATTTCAAGAAATGGAGCAAAGTGAGACAGAAAAGTACCCAATGACTTCCCGGGAATTTCTTAGCAAGATCCTGACTCGGAGTAGAATGCTTTATTGCTTTTTCCATAGCCTCCGGTCTGCTAGGCAGAGAAGTGAGAAACCAGACGAAGGTCATTAATTACATTTTCTTTATACCTATTTTTTTCAACTTCTGGAATGATTTTGAGTAAGGAAAGCTGGATTAACTCTCTAAGTTCTTCTTCATCATCATCACTACGTAAATACCAAACAGCTTGTCTATTTTATGGACGCTGGGTGTGTATCCTCTATACAGGATTTACTAAAAGACAATGACACAAATCACAGAGGATGAGAAGGCATGGAAGGGTTGCTTCTACGTCATGGAAAAAGGCATGGAGGGAGTACTCGGAAGAGGAAATCACAGATCCACCATGGTATCAAAGTAAATAAACAAGGGTACATTTACAGACCTATTTACGACTTATATAATATCTCATTTTAATCTCACGACAAATCTGTGAGGTAGGCAATGCAAGTATGATACAGCCCCACTTTATGGATGAGGACATTAACAGTCAATGAAGATGAGCTGTCCACAGTCACATGGCTAACGACAGAACAGACTTCTGGTTTCAAGTCTAATGCTCTTTCTACTACACCAGAAGCTTAGCAATTGACGCCCCCAATACACCAACTTCCTGAGAATTACTACATGCAAGCAAAGAACAAAGCGCAGCGCGCTATCCCATTGCCAAGAAGACACACGCCTACTTGTGACTTAGCCCTCAGCCACATCAACCTTTTGCCCTAGCTTCTCCTGAAAATGCTCAAAACCACAGCCAATGGGTTTCTATCCTCCTTTATGATTTACACACCAGCAATTGGGCAGATTGAGGGTTATACTGGCTTGTATGGCTGCTCCAAACTGAAGGTAGCCCAGGCATCCCAGGCTGATGTAGACAAGGGTAACGATGGTCATCCCCACATACAGGATGACTGGAAAGTGCTGGGGCTGATTCATTTTATTTTCCAGGGGAAGCACCTGAGGACAAGATAAAAATACAAGTTAACATCAACAAAAATAGGCAACGTTTTGATCCTTAACATTCTTGTTCCCCAAATACAGCTCTGGCCTTAAAAATAGGTGGACTCCCAGTCTGATTTCTGTTCCCTGTGGAAAACAGGGAAAACGATCATCTTCATTCCTACAGGATAGAAATTATCTATACCACCCCTCTATGGAGAGTAAGGAAAGAAATCCTCTTTACTTTTAGAGGATAGAAAATACCCTTTTTCCCAATACTCTTTGCTCCAGTCATTAACTCACTATGCTTAACTTAGATTTTTTTCCCTGAGGACCAGATAGTACTAGTTGAAGACTCTTTAACTAGTTCTTGATTCAAAGTCATTGCTCTGTGTGCAGTAATATCCGTAGAATAAGAAAGGGAGCTCATTGAGGATTACAACTTTCCACCTTAGCGCCAGTTTTCTATTACATATAGTAGGAAAGGGACAAAAGCCATAAGGGAAACCTTCACACTGATGAAAGCAGTGGCAGTGAGGACCTAACAAGGCTTTTTAATAGGGAAGTCAAGTTTCCAGATTCCTTCTTGGATCCACCGGATCATGCTATCTCCTTTGCCACAATGAACACTACAACACTAGAGAGTCCTAGACTGAAAAGTCAGAAGACTGGGGCCAGAATCTTGGCCCTTCCATTACTGAGCTATATGATCTGAGGCAAGTCACTACTTTTCTGGACCTCAACTGCCTCATTTGCCAAATAGGGATGAATAAAAATACTTGCCCTCCTTTCTCCTTCACTAAGGCCAACTCTGATGCTTCATCACAGCGTGAAAGAAATCCTGCACGCTCAAGGACTTCTCAATGAAGCTTAAACTCTGGGCAAGTTCTACCAAGCTTGAAAGGTATTCAGTATAGCCTGGCCAAACACTGCATGTCTGATGTCTGAAGAGAAGGAACACTAAAAGTGGAAGAGGCAGAAGGTTGGCTGCCAGCTGATGGTTTCTTAGCAGTCACAGCTGTCTTACATTGATAAAATCACAGATCTCTTGAAACACCACCTCTCTCACATGGTTATTATAACAGAAATACTTTGAAAAGTCAAAGTTCCATAAAAACATGTGTTCTTAATAACAAAAGAACAGAACACCAGTTTGATCTCTGTAAAAGAGGAAGCAACAAAGGGCAAGACTTTGCCAATTTTCACAAGTGGTCATCTATTAGATCTGGCTCAGTAAACAACGAAAGTCAACTCAAAGCAATGATTCTCATTTCCAAGAGACAGTCTGATCGTGTCAGAATACTCATTTTCTTTCAGTACAGAGGGCATAAAAGTGAGCAAGGTATGCACTGGGTCTTCAGGGTCTTCTCTTGGGGTATTAACCCTAGGCTTTTCAGCTCCAGCTTATCCCTTGCCCAACCTAGCAAACAAGGCTGCTAAATGAAGGGTTCTTAACCTTTTCTGTGTCATGGAACCCTGTGGCAGTCTGGTGAAGCCTTCTCAGAACAATGTTTTCAAATAATTGAAGGAAATGCTAATTTCAGTTAGAGGCTAGTGAAAATAAAGATGTGATTCTGCCTCCTCCCCCCATCTGAGTTCATCAGATACCTGAGGATGGACTGACTTGCTAAACTATCACTCCATCTTCTTTCACAAGCTGTTGTTAATACAATACGTCATCAGACGGCAGTGATCCTACTTTCATACATCCTCTTGTGCCACAGAGTGAAGAGTTCACTGTCAATGACGGAAAATCTTCTGTTCTAATCAGCAGGAGACCCAGTGGTTTGCTAACTGCAAAACCAAGAGGGTTTTTGTGGAAACATCCTAGGGTGGTCCATATGATGATCGGTTAAAGAAACTAAGCACATTGAGCTTAGAAATGGGAAGACTGAAGTGGGGACATGATGATTTTCTTCAAATATCTGAAGATATGGAAGAAGGATTGCATTTGTCCTGCTTGTTCCCAAAAGGAAGAAACAATGACCAATGTCAGGAGACCAAATTTGGCTTAACATAAGGAAAAGCTTCTTAACAATTAAGAGTTGTTTAAGAAAGAAATGAGATACCCCCAAAACAGTGAGTTCTCTATCAATTTTATAATCAAGCATTTACCGGGAGACTCCAAGCAAGAACTGGATAACCTTCGGTCAGGGAGACTCCACAAGAGGTTAGTGTTTCACCAGCAGTGTGGTGAACAGAGTGTTGGGGCTGCAGTCAGGAAGACCAGACTTCAAATTCCGCCTTAAGACACTTAGTGGCTGTGTGATCCTGCACAAGTCACTTAACCTCTGTTCGCTCAACTTCCTCAACTGTAAAACGGGATAATAATTACACCTACCTCATGGATTTGTTGTAAAGTTCAAGTGAGATAATATTTGTAAAAAGTGCTTAGCCTAGTACCTGCCACATAATCAGGGCTATATAAATGGTTACTCCCTTCTCTCCTCTCTTCTGTATGAATTGGACTAGATAACTTCTGAGGTCTCTCCCAATTCTGTAATTTTATAACACTCACATTTGTGTAGTGCTTTATCATTATTATTATTATTATTATTACCCCCACTGCGTTGTTGTTCAGTTGTTTCAGTTGTGTCTGACTCTTTGTGATGCCATTTGGGCTTTTCCAGATACTGGAGTGTTTCACCATTTCCTTCCCTGGCTCATTTTACCGATGAGGAAACTGAGGGAGGCAGCGGTTAAGTGACCTGCCCAGGTCATACAACTGGTAAGCATCTGAGGCTGGATTTGAACTCAGGTCTTCCTGACTCTAGACCTGGTGCTCTATCCACTGCATAACTTAGCTATCCCTAATGTTAGCTATTATTGCTATTTTATCTGTATTTCAGATGTGGTTCCTGCTCAGATATGCATTGGTGCAGATGACCAGAGCTCTGAAGATCCTTCTAGCTTGGATGTTTTTGATTCTACACCCAAATCTGAATGTGGTAGAGAAGAGTGATAGAATGACTGTGGACTGAAGGAAATTTAGCTTCAACAACAGAAATCTGGATTAATGGGAGAAAACACATGAATAGCAGCCATACTCCTCCAGGGGATCTCATGATCACATGAGACCCGACTTAACCTCCTTCCTATACTCTTTCAGTTGCTGGGCATTTAAATCATTTCACACATGCTGGAGATACTTTTTTGTAATGTCATAGTCTCTTAATTCTCCTGTTGGCCAATCCATTTTTAATAACAGACTGAGCTGTATAGTAGGAGGGACTAGGACATATCAAATCTCCAAGGCCCAGGTACCCAGTAGGTACTTAATACACGTGTCCTGAATTGAACTGTTTAGAAGTTTAGTAATTTGCTTATGTACAATGCTTTAAAATTTACAGTGCACGTTCGGATGATTAATTTTAATTGATCCCTGTAACACGCCTATGAGGTAGGAAGAACAAGAATCATGATGCCCATTTCAGAGTTGAGGAAACGGGCCCAGAGAGGTGAAACACCTTGCCCAGGATCACACGGCTGGCAGTAAATGGTAGAATCAAGACAAACTCAGGTCTTCTGACTCCAAGGCCAGGCTTCCAACTATACTTCTTAGTCTCTTACACTCTACTCATCAATACTCTCTGCAGTGGACAGAACAACTGGCCCAGGAGTCAGAAGGACCTTAGTTCCAATCCAGTCTCCAAAAAACAAACAAACAAACAAAAATACTAATGCCATCCACTCACCCCCCGGCTACCTACCTTGAAACACAATTCCTCTAACTTCTGGCTTTTTTTAATAAAAAAAAGAGAGACAATGAAACAACTATCAAAGACTTCTAAAATCCATAAAAACAGAAAGCTTTTTTCTCTTCTTTTGCCCTCTGCACAAGCAGCATTTTTTTTCCAGGGGAGAATTTGGCATCTTCTTAAAAGGTACTATTTATGTAGAGCCAAAGAGCAGCAGCTCTCTCTTCCTGGGGGAAGAGTATAGAAACAGTAGGACCGTAAGCCAGAAGGAAGCAGGGTTCACCTCCTTCCTTACAAAGCCTGAGCTATTATTTTTTTCCTCAGTGTTGACAGAGGAAGTGTTGATATATGTATTAGAGAGCAAGTAGGTGGTAAAGAAGGTAAAACCTGAGTGTTACTAAATCAATATGCATTTTGTCTTCAAAAATAGCAGATTTACTAGATTCAATACTGGAGAAATGGCAACTGAGAAACAGATCTACCACAGAAGATCATTTCCAACAGGCATAGTCTTCTGGCATTGTCCCATGCATGGTCTGGCCTCCAGAACACTGAATTCTTCACCAGAAAAGTATTAACAGTGCCAGGGAATATTCAACTTTAATCCCAACTCAATCCTTACCACTCCGATGCCTTCAAATGCAAATATGGCTGTACCAAAGAACAGGGGGTAGGTATTCCAATTTGCTACCAAGGGCAGGTTTCTGGGGTCTGGGATTCCCTAAAAAAAACATAGATAAAAAGATGTCTTGATATCATAAAACCAGTCAAAAAAAAAAAGGCCAGATTTTTGAGTAAACTTAGGATTTCTGAAGGGAGAAAGTAGGACATCAATACATATTTAAATAAGATCAAAATTCAGATAAGACAGTCCTTGTTCTCCTGGAGTACACAGCTACCTCCCAGGGTTGTTGTGAGGATCAAATCAGATAATATTTGTAAAGCTTTTAGCACTGTGCCTGGCACATAGTAAGTATTATATAAGTGTTAGCTATTATTATTAAAACTTGTATAAACTAATGCAAAAAGTGAACTGATAAGAACCAGGAGGACAATTTATAAAACAACTAAAAAATGTAAAGGAAAACAACCACGAAAAACCATAAGAACTCTGATTGATGCAATGACCAATCCAGATGCCAGGAGCCTAATGGTAATGCATTCCTTCAACCTCTGGCAGGGAGGTGATGGATTAGAGGTGCAGAGTGAAATGTACATTTTCAGACATGGCCAGTATGTTGATTTGTTTTGCCTGAATATAATTATATATTACCACGTAGTGGTGGAAGCACTGAGTGGCAGTCAGTGGGTAGTGGAAGCAATGTTTAAAAGAAAAAAGAAAGAAAAAAGAAAAGAAAGTCAATGAATACACAGAAAAATGCAGAGGGAGACACAGACAAGCAAGGCAATTTTGTTACTATTAGGTTAAATTCAATATATACTTTAAAACAAAATTAAAAGTGAAAAATAAATTGACTACTACAACAATCGAAGTGGAAAGAACAATAACAAAAAAAACCCAGTCGAGTACTGAGTGACTACAATGACTGAGCTCCAGCCTGAAGAAGAGAGAAAATGCATTGCCTTCCCTTCTTTGAAGGGTTGAAAGCTGACAGTGTCAACCATGGCACGTTCTGTCAAATTTGGGCAATGCGTTCTTTAATTTTGTTGAACTGCTTTTCTCTCTCTTTCTTTTCTATGCTTTGTTAAAAAGGAATTTCAACCTGAGCAGAGGAGGAGAGGAATACATTTGGAAACAAAGGTGATATAAAAACAAAATATGTCAATAAAATGTTATGGAAAGAACGAGCGCACCAACCTAGGAGCTAGGAGGCCTAGACGTTTAGGCCACACCTTTGTACTCTGTCTCTAGGAGGGGACCATTCCTTCAAAGAGAGTGGAATGTAACAGATGAACAGTAAGCACTGCATTATTGCCCATTAAAGATTAAAAGAACCTAAAAGATGGTCTCCAACGTGTTATATAAATTCTCTATGTAGGCTTTATGGCAGGACAGAGACAAGAACCTCATAAGATGTGAGGCCACGGTTAAGATGCTCACACCAATGAGATCATGGATTCACTGAAGTATTAAGCTGAGAGACCTCATCATTCTGTAAAGCTAGAGTTCTTAACCCAGAGTCTATTAACAAGACTTTAATATTTTGATTTGTCAAGATAACTAATTTCCTTCATAATCCTTAGGTGTGTGTATGTATGTGTGTGTATGTATATATATGCATATGTATGTGCACATGTATACATATATACACACAGATACACACACACACACATATTTGGTGTTGTGTTTTTTTTTTAAGACTGGGCCTTCCTATCTTGTCCAGGCTGTCAGTGGAGGAGCTACCCACAGGCCTGATCCCACTATTCACTAACATGGCAGCTTTAAGCTGACGTTTTTATAACCTGGGTCAGTTTGCTCTTCCTTAGACATCCCAAATCTCCACACCCACCCCTCACCCCCACTCCCAGGGATTCACCATATCAGTGTTGAACTTAGTGCAGGCGCCCAACCGGCATAGCCTATAGCAGCTCAGAATTCTCAAGTTGAACCGACTCCAACAAATAACCACCAACCTCCACCCGCCAGGCAGCTGGGATGACAGGCGTGCACCACTAAGTCCAGCAATGCATTTTACTGGATGCATTTAAAAACATGATTCTGAAAAAAGGTCCATAGGCTTCACTCGGCTGCCAAAGGTGTCCAGGACACAAAAAAGGTTAAGAACCCAAGGGAAGGTAGAGGTACCAAGACTGTCTGAAATACAAAACTCAAAAGGTGGTGCAGTGGATAGAGCACTGACCCTAGGGTCAGGAGGACCCGAGTTCAAATCCAGCCTCAGACACATAACACTCACTAGCTGTGTGACTCTAGGCAAGTCACTTAACCCCAATGGCCTCACCAAAAAACCAAACAAACAAGCCCAAAAACAAATCATAGAGCATGTCTAAAACACCAACAGAAAAATGCATATTAAAACAGCTCTCAAGTTCTACCTTACACCCTTCACTCTGGCAAAACTGACAAAAAAGGAAAATGACAAATGTTGGAAAAGTTGTGAGAAAACAGGTACATTAATGCACTGGTGGTGGAACTATGAACTTGTACAATCATTCTGGAAAGCAATTTAGAACTGTGCCCCAAAAGCTATTAAATTGTGACCCAGAAATACCACTGCTAGAGTTATATTACAGAGAGACTAAAGAAAATGGAAAAGGACCAATATGTACAAAAGTATGGAAGCTCTTTTTATGGGCACAAAGAATTAGAAACGGAGGAACAGATGAACAAATTATGGTGTACAGGTGTGACAGAATACCACTGTACTCTAGAAAACGATGAAAGGAATGATTTTAGGGAAACCTGGGAAGACTTGTATGACTAATGCAGAGTCAAGTGAGCAGAACTAGGGGAGCAATTTATATAATAACAATATTATAAAGATAATCAACTTTGTTTTTTTAAATAGTATTTTTTTCCCCAGTTACATGTCAAGAAAATTTTTAGCATTAATTTTTACAAGATTTTGAGTTTCAAATTTTTCTCCCTCCCCTCCCCTCTTCTGAAATGGTAGGCAACATGTGCTACTGTGTAAAAATACTTCCACATTAGTCACAATTGTGAAAGATGAAACAGATCAAAAGGAAAAAAAAACACGAGAAAGAATAAAGTAAGTGAAAAACATATGCTTCGATCTGCATGCAAAGGCTATCAGTTGTTTATCTAGATATGGGTAGTATTTTCCTTCCCAAGTCTTTGTACTTCTCTTCCATCACTGTGTCGCTGAGAAGAGCCGAGTAATTCATGGCTGATCCAAAGATAATCAATCACAATCATCTAACACTCTAGTAATCCCAATGATCACCATTCCGGAAGACTCAGATGACATGTTACCTACTTCCTGACAGAGGGGTGACCAACTTAGAGTGCAGATTAAGACATAATTGTTTTGTGCCTGTTTGTAACAGGAGCTTTGTTTTCCTTGCTTTCTCAACAGGGGCAGGGGAAGAAGGGAGGTGAGAGAGAAAGAAGACGGATCTCTGTTTGGAAAAATAATTTAATTATAAAAAATAAAATTTTACAAAGGCAGGGCATGATCCAACAGCCTAAGAAAAGAATATGAGATGAAGGAAAGCCGCCACAGGCACAGTCTACAGACTCTTCCCTCACAGTCTCTTTACTATGTCATTAGTGCTAATAAGCCAGTAATCAAACCCTGCCCCAACAGCCCTAAACTCTGTGGTGATTGTTGTGTAGCTAACTGCATATCTGTAATGCTCCTATGGCACTAAATCCCCTGTGCAATATCACTGCACCTAACGTGCTTTTGTGAGATTAATTAGTAACATCGAGCGGAGTATGCCTGTCCTAATTAAGATGTCCTAATCACAGAATCATAGATTCTCCTGAGGGCACAACCAATGCATCCCCTAAGTAAGCAAGGATTCCTTCTGCAACATATCTGACCAACGATTATCCTGCTTAAGACTTCTGGAGATTCATTACGCCCCGAGATAGTCCGTTCTATTCCAGGGCAGTACTAATCGATAGAGTAAAGACTCACTATAACTCTATCTTCTGAGTCTACACCATGAGACTATTTCAAAAGTGAGACTACCTTAAGACAAACATTTTAGTATTTCAGGGGTCCAAGGTAATTAAAATACCTTCCTTATATAGAATTCTGCTTTAGAGAAGGGAAATGTTAGGATGAGTGGTCCAAGGAGTTACAAAAGAACTCGACTTTACTCAAAAAATCATAATAGCTTATATTTTGATGGTACAATATGATTTATCAAGCACTATCCTCAAAACAATCTTGTGAGGTAGGGAAAAGAGAATTATCCTTATTATACAGATCCAAAAAATTAAGCTCACAGAGACTGGACACATGGCTTCCAAGGGACAGAGCAAGGACCTGAAACTGTGTCTTTCTAACCTCAGCCCAATGCTCTTTCCACCATACCATGATGTATCTCTGATTCTTTTCTTCCTTCATTTTTAAAACATTTTTCTTTAAAGTTCTGAGTTCCAAATTTTATCCCTCCTTCCCTCCTCTCTCTCCGCCCTAAGATGGTAAGCAGACATAAGCTTACACATGCAATTATGTAAAACATTTCCACATTAGTCATTTTGTATGAGAAGATGAAGAAAAGAAAAAAATGAAAGAAAGTGAAAAACAGCATGTTTCAGTAGGTATTCCAACAGTGTCAGTTCTTTCTTTGGAGGCATATAGTATGCTTCATTAGTCCTTTGGGATTGTCTTGGATCACTGTACTGCTGAGAACAGCTATGTCATTCATAGTTCTTCAATGAACGATATTGCTGTTACTGCATACAGTGTTCTCCTGGTTCTGCTCACTTCACTATGCATCAATTCACGTGGGTCTCTCCGGGTTTTTCTGCAGTCACCCTGCTTGTCATTTCTTATAGGCACAATAATATTCCATTACAATCATATACCACAGCTTGTTTAGCCATTCCCCAATTAATGAGCATCCCTTTGATTTCCAATTCTTAGCCACCACAAAAAGAACTGCTACAAATACTTTTGTACAAATAGGTCCTTTCCCCTTTTGGGGGAAGTCTTTGGGATACAGACCTAGCAGTGGTATTGATGGATCAAAGGGCATGCAGAGTTTTATAACCCTTCAGCATAGTTTCAAATTGCTCTCCAGAATGGTTGGATCAGTTTACAACTCCACCAACATCTATCTCTGATTCTCAAGAATCTATCCGAACCTGGGAAAGTAGTTTATAAGCCTCCTACATGAGGCTTTTCTCAGTCCTCCTGCTAGTTGCTAACGTGTCCCTTCTGTAAAATGTCTTTGAATTTACCTTGTATGCCCCGTTTCTGTATGTGCATATCTACTGTCTCTTCTGATAGAATCTAAGTTTCTTGACTGTGGGGATTGTATGATTTTTATCTTGTATCCTCAGTGCCCAGTGAAGAGCTGGCTTAGTAAATGCTTAATAAATGCTTGATGACTGATTGGCCCTGGAAAGGCCCAAGAGAAATGGCAACATTAAGTAAGGCTGGAAAGGTAAGTTAGAGCCTTGATTGTGAAGGGCCATAAATGCCAGTGTGAGGGCAACAAGGAGCCACAGAGAGTTGAAGAATGACATGACACAACACATACATTAAGAAATGTATTTTAGCAGATAACATGTGAAGGATGGATCAGAGAAGGGAGACGGTTTACAAGGCTATGATAATAATTCTCCTGTGGGCCTAGCCCAGGGTGCTGGCTGTGAGAGTGGATGGATGCCAGACAGGTTGTGGAGGTAGAATTAACAAGATCAGATATGGGAACAAGGAAGTAGGAAGAGTCAGAAATGGTTCTAGGGTTAAAACTTCAGATCTTTGGAAGAGGGCAGTAATTTCAATAGAATCAAGGAAGGGAGGAATAATTCTCCTGTGGGCCTGACCCAGGGTGCTGGCTGTGAGAGTGGATGGATGCCAGACAGGTTGTGGAGGTAGAATTAACAAGATCAGATATGGGAACAAGGAAGTAGGAAGAGTCAGAAATGGTTCTAGGGTTAAAACTTCAGATCTTTGGAAGAGGGCAGTAATTTCAATAGAATCAAGGAAGGGAGGAATGGGGGAGCCTAAAAGGAAGGGCAACTCCACCTTCAATATGCTGAGAATGGGGTACAGAGAAGTCAGCTTCCCAGAGTCAGCGAGTCAGTGATGCAAGAGACTACAACTGAACAACTAGATCTGGGCATTATCTGCATGCAGAAGATAACTGAATCTATGAGAAACTATCAGATCAGCAAGGCAGCTAATCTGATTATAACGAGGCAAGGGCAGAGCCTTGGAGGACACAACCATCCTTAGGGAGCTAGAGATGAATGATGTTTCAGCAACGAAGATTGAGAAAGAGTGGTCAGATAGGTACGAAGAGAACCAGGGCACAGCAGTGTCACAGAAGCCAATATAGGAGAACACAGTCATCCCTTCTACATCGTGACTTTCCCCATCATAGTTTCAATATATCATGGGTTGGCATAAGAAATTAAATGGGAATTTTGGGGAGTTTTTCAGAAGCTGCAGACAACATGAGAAGGCCAGCAGATGAAACACAAAAAGTTTAGAAACTCAGAAATGCATGAAATATATGTATAGCATTATATAATATCAATATATTTTATCTTTTAATGCCACAATAATTCAGACTTCTTCTCTGGTACAAAGGGAGGGCCAAAAAATTTTACACAGACTTTCCAGGTTGCAGGGGTGCTGCACCTCTAGCCCCTATAACGTGGAAGGGATAACTGTATATCCAAAATGAAGGACTATCTTCATAATTAATACTTCTATAGCACATACAATACAACAACCCTATAAGTCAGGCAGTACAAATATCCCCAGTCCCATTTTACAGATGAGGACGCTTAGATCAAATATATCAGGTTGGCTCTCCCAAGGTTACATGGCTAGTAAGCACCTGGGGTGGTTTTCAAATCCAGGTTCTGTGGCCTCTTTCTCTACCGAGAGTATTTGGCTCATTCTGGGTCTGAACCACATGCAAGAATTCTGTACTAATCTAGACATGCGGTGTGTAAAAATGTCAAGGGAGAAGACAACTCCCTCTTCCCTTACCAACGTTACTAGGTAGCTGGGCTAGCAATTCACATCGGATCAGTCAGCACAGTACACTAGCCAATTTAAAGTGGTCTGAAGATCAATTATAGCTGACACTAACTCGTCTGATATTGGCAGCTCAATAAGTCAGAAACAGAGAATGCACGCAGCCATCCTCTTCCTCACATCCCTCACCCCTTGATTTAACACAGGAAAGTCCCGAGCAGCCATCTGAGGAAGTAAAATGTATACTGTCGCTCCAAAAATGCTGGTGCCTCTAAGTCATCAGACAGCAGCTTTGTGTCTTTTCACAACACAGCAGTAAACAAACGGCAGGCTAAGAGGAACAATTGGAAAGGACTGCCACTAGATCTGGATATCAGACATCTAAGGGAGTGGCCACAGGCCTGACCTGGACACGTACCTGCACGATACGCTGATAGATCATGATGAGGCTGACCATCATGCTGATGTTGGCCAGCAATGAGAAGACGGACAGGGCTCGGAGGTTTCGAACAAACACCAGCAGCACCAAGAAAGGCAGGAAGGAGAGTATGTAGAGCCGTGAGTCCATGGTGGGCGTCAGCACGATGGTCTCATTGCTTTGGCAGTTGTTGGTGGTCATATTGGCTGCTTCCACCACCTTCAGGACAGGAGGAAAAAGCAGGAAAATTCTTTCAAAATTCACCAAGTAGAATGCAGTTAGAAAAACTTCCCCAGACAGGGTTGTGAGCTTCCAAAAACAAAGCCTTGAAAGAATATATGGAATTTCTAGGAGACAGTAATTTCCTTGAAGGAAGGGGTGATGTTTTATCTATCCCTGCATTTCTTCCAACCTAGCAGAGGGCCTTGCACCCCTCGGAACTAAACTGGACCCTTTGAACAGCTTTGGGAATAACCAAGGCACCCTCTGCTGCGCATGGGCCTGAGAAGTCTTTCCTGAAGATCAGAGAATTGACTAGGCCTGAAGAAGTTCCTTCTGACCCTAATATTTGAGGATCCAAATTTCCTCTTTGCAGATGGCCAAAGGACATTGGCCCCAAAGGGACGACAGCCACATAAAAGGCTCAGCGTTTAGTCTTTTCACTAGGAGTTCAAGTGCAGAGGGTCCACCTAGTTCTCTTTCACCCTACCTGTTTAAAGTTGTCAGCCAGAAATACAAAATACACACAGCAAAAGCCCAGCTGAGTAACAATCAGGAAGAAGCTCACAATACGCCTACAGACGGAAGAGAACAAGAAGATGACTCATTTTTTAAAATGAAGCACTTCAAAGGGAGAAGAAAAATTTGTCAGCTTAAACCTTTCACTTATAAAACAATGTCAAATCAAGTCAACAAGCATCTATCACGACCTTGATACGTGCTAAACACAAGGGATACAGAGAAAAGCAAACAGTCTTTGCCCCCACATTCTAAGGGTGGGAGACAACATGCAAACAACTATTTACAAGGTAATTGGAGGCAATCTCATAGGGAAGATACCAGCATGGAAGAAATTGGGAAAGGCTTCTTGTAGAAGGTGGGATTTTAGCTGGGACTTCGAGGAATTCTAGGACAGACAAGTAAAAAATATACGGAGTTGGGAGATGAAGTGTCGTGTGAGAGGGACAGTAAGAGGCCAGTTTGACTGGATTTCAGAGTACATGGAAGGGAAGAGGGTGAAGAGACTGGAAGGGTAAGAAGGGGCTGGGTTATGGAGGGTTTTAGAAGTCAGAGGATTTCATATTTGATCCTGGAGGCAATAGCGAGTCACTGGAAATATTGAGTAGAGGATGAATGACATGGGCAGCTGTGCTATAGGAAGATTCTAAACATCAAATCATTCTTCTTTCACAGATTACACAAAGTTTGTAAACTCTCACCTTGTTCATTTTTAACTCCTATTATTTTTTCTAGCTAAAAACAAAAATCTTTTTAAAAACTAAAGGACAGTCACATGTAGGGCAGGAGATATGGAAAAGGGGAGGGGGGGAATCTACCCATATCTGTAGTTAAAACTGGGTAAGAAAAGGGTAGTAGCAGTGAGAAATTATTGGGGGGGGGCAGTGAGGAGTGAGAGGGAGGCGAAAGAATCTTCTGTAGTTTAGATTATATACACTCTCCCCCTTTCAAGACAAAACCCAAACACAACACAAAACCTTTCCTAATCCTCCAACTGCTAATATCCTCCCTCCTTAAATACCTTATATTTGACTAGTTAGTCTTTATGCCTTTGATTCTGTATATACTCATATGTGCTTACTGTACACTCCCATTAAAACAAAAGATTTTTAGAAGTAAGGAGTGTCTCACGCTTTCTGTCTGTCTCCCAGAGTGTAGCACAGCACCTGGCACACAGCAGGCAATTAATAAGAACACCAGCACAGAGCAGTGTCACAGAATCCACACTCATGTACACGTACTCAATCAAGCAATAAAGCTGTCAACAAGCAGTTAGGAATTACCTTCCCCACACGGAATGAGTCCGAAGCCAAGAGCTGGGGCTAGATTCCAGCCCGTACATCACCGTGTCTCCATAGTCCACAAAGGGTTTGTGTAGCCTGTGGAAGAGAAAAAACCCAAGCTAAGAACTGGTGTAGCCCAATTACAGGAACCTGTAAAATCAGGAGAAGGAGAGTGGCACTGGCAAAGCAGACCTGGCAATCCCTGGCACTGGACAGTCCCTTACGTGTACCAGGGTGCCAGAGTCTTGATCCAGACAGCTCTTGAAAAGCATATTATCTTGGGGGATGGGGAAGCTAGGATTCTTAGCACCACTCTAATATAGTCAAAGTTCATCCTTCCTGTCCTCTCCCTTAAACAAATTGGGAAATATTCTTAGAAGAGAAGCCCATTTACTTAAGGTCAAGAAGAATCAAACTGGTAAGAATGCCTGGAGAAGAACACATAAAAGGAACAGTACAATCACTATTCTCTATCACTAATTATTAGTAATAGCGAAATATCACACTGGCCTCCCTACAGGACTGCCCTCCTTCTCTCTATCAGGCAGTCACTATCAGCTTCAGCGTATACAGAACACAGAATTAGAATGCGGTCTCGACCCAGTGTCTTAACTAAAAGGTCCCAAAACAAAGACTATGAAACAGTCAGAAAGATATGGCTGAGTCCTAACAAATACATGGAGTATTACAACAGCTACATTCAAAGAGGTAAAGGATGTGCATTACTATAAGCTATAAAAGCAGTGAGTGTGAGTTAGAGAAGAGACAATTTCAATGAAGTTCAATGGGACTAACGTTAGTCATTAAACTCCAAAGGATAAATATTCAACCAAGAACAGAAACAAATATGTCTTACCTCTGGCAGACGTGATGAGCACACTTCACCAGGATGCCCATACAGTGCACAGCCACAATGCCCATGACCAACAGACTGAGAGGACCCATCTGGAGAAAGGTAGTGTAGGTGAGAAGAAAAGAGTAAAAATAACTTTAAAAGGTTAGTCATATAACTGATTGAAATGTCACTGAGGTATCCACTACTTTGCAGAGGTTGAGGTTCATAGGTGTGGGATGTTACATGTAACTTCCGGATGTTTTTTTTTTTTAATGTTACTTGGTTTTGTTGAATTTCTTCTTCTTCTTCTTCTTTTTTTCATGTTTTAAAAAATCTTTTTTACAAGGGATGGCTCTCTGGGAAAGAGGAGGGATACAAGGGAAAATCTAGGCAATGTAAAAGGAAAAGTTACCAATAAAATCTATTTTTTTAAAAAATGTAACTGGGGGCAGCTAGGTGGCGCAGTGGATAGAGTGCCGGTCCTGAAGTCAGGAAGACCTGAGTTCAAATCCAGCCTCAGACACATAACACTCACTAGCTGTGTGACTCTGGGCAAGTCACTTAACCTCAACTGCCTCACTAAAAAAAAAAAAAAGGTAATCAATGCCAATTCCAAGTAGAAAGTTCTTATAGGCAGTCCTAGAGAGCAGAACATGGTAAAGATTCATTCTATAACATGGAAACTGGCCTGAACTTTAGCACTCTTTTGAAAATATCTAATGTTTCAAAGAAAAAGAAAATCTAAGGTAGCAGTGTTGCGCAATGACAGGGAAAGTTAGATAAGTAAGGATCTCTGATGACTCTAGAGCTGAAATGGAAAAGGAGGTTTTAAGGGTCAGCTGAAGAGCAATCACCAGACAAACTGAGTTTCTGGGACATCCTAAAGTCTAAAGGAAATTAAGATATCTCTGAACACAAAGATCCACTCAGAGAACATCTTAAAAAACATTAAGAATCAATCATTTAGGAAATGGAATGGAATAATGGAGGTTAGAGAATAGAGAAGTTAGCCAAGAGCCTTCCTAGAAAATATACAGAATACTGATATTAAAGAGTCAGTACTCTTAGTATATCCATGCCTCCTACCCAGCAGCCCTATGTGTAACTTGTTTTCTAGCAAAGGAGACAGAGTTATTCTAATTAGTCAAAACACAAAAACAAAAATTCTTTCAAATTAAAAATATTATGAAACCACAAGAGAAGTCAGATGATACAGCAACTAGAAGGCTGTCTCTGCAGTCATAAGGGCCTGATCCAAGTCCTGAATTTGACATGCTGCGTAAGCGCAAATCACTTAACTTCTCAGTACTTCAGGCAACAAATCGCTTACGACTTAATATGAGTTACCATGTGCATCTGTGAACGAGTTTCCATATTTGTTATTCAGTTGTATCCGATTCTTTGTGACCTCATTTGAGGTTTTCTTGGCAAAGATACTTCAGTGATTTGCCATTTCCTTCTCTAGCTCATTTTACAATGAGGAAACTGAGGCAAACCGGGTTAAGTGACTTGCCCAGGGTCACACAGCTAGTAAGCATCTGAGGCTAGATTTGAACTTGGGAAAATGAGTCTTCCTGACTCCAAGCTGGCACTCAATCCACTGTGCCACCTAGCTGCCCTATCTCTCAAATTCCTTATACTAATGAAATGGCAGCCATAGATTAAAAAAAAAAAAGGTATAAAAGCAATCAACATCTCTATTCTCCCACAGTGCTGTGGGATTCCTCCCTCCTTCCTCCGTACAGATCCCTCTTACCAAGATCCCTGCATTCTTCACTGCCAGGGGCAGCCCTAGGAGACCTGTGCCAATATTCCCTTTCAATAAGTGGATCAAGGTCTGGAACCATCTGTAATGATGAAGAGAGACCATGGAGGGTTAGAGTGGAGAGATGGGTACCCCATGCTCAACTCCCTGGCTGCAGCTCCAGCACCTGGTGGACAAAAACAAAGCAGCAGGTTCAGGTGTCCCTCCAGCTACTTCAGCATTAATCAGCGTTGTCCTCTAAGCCTGTGCTAACGACTAAGCTGTGTGTTGTAGAGGCCAATCAACACAGTATCAGCCATCCGATACAAGCACCTGAAACCTAACTGGAAGGACAGTCCTAAGAATGAAAGATGAGGGATAAGAACTCTCTATTTGACAAAAACTGCTGGGAAAACTGGAAAAGAGCATGGCAAAAACCAGGCATAGACCAAAATCTCACACCATGTGCCAAAATAAAGTCAAAATGGGTCCATGATTTAGATATAAAGGCTGATATCATAAACAAACTGGGAGAGCAAGGAATAGTTTACCTATCAGATTTATGGAGAACAGAAGAATTCATAACCAAACAGGAGATAGAGAACATTACAAAATGCAAAATGGAAAACTCTGATTACATTAAATTGAAGAGTTTTTGCACAAACAAAGCCAATGCAACCAAGATTAGAAGGAAAGTAGAAAATTGGGAAAGAATTTTTACAACCAGTGTCTCTGATAAGGGCCTCATTTCTAAAATAAATAGAGAATTAAATCAAATTTATAAGAATACAAGTCATTCCCCAATTGACAGATGGTCAAAGGATATGAACAGGCAGTTCTCAGATGAAGAAATGAAAGCTATCTATAGTATATGAAAAAATGCTCTAAATCACTATTGGGTAGGGAAAGGCAAATTAAAACAACTCTAAGGTACCACATCACACCTATCAGACTGGCCAACATGACAAAACAGGAAAATGATAAACGCTGGAGAAGATGTGGGAAAATTGGAACACTAATGCATTGTTGGTGCAGTTGTGAAATGATCCAACCATTTTGGAGAACAATTTGGAACTGTGCCCATAGGGCTATAAAAAAGTGCATATCCTTTGACCCAGCAATAGCACTTCTAGGGCTATATCCCAAGAAGATCAAACAAATGGGAAAAGGAGTCACATGTACAAAAATATTTATAGCAGCTCTTTTTGTGGTGGCAAAGAATTGGAAAATGAGAGGATGCCCATCAACTGAGGAATGGCTGAGCAAGTTGTGGCACATGAATGCGATGGAACATTGTTGTGCTGTAAGCTGTAAGAAATGATGAGCAGGCAGACTTCAGAAAAACCTGGAAAAGACTTGTATGGTCTGATGTTGAGTGAAGTGAGCTGAACCATGAGAACATTGTACAAAGTAACAGACACACTGTGCGATGATTAATAGCGATAGAATTAACTCTTCTCAGCAATACAAGGATCTAAGACATCTCTAAAGGCCTCACGATGGAAAATGCTATCCACATCCAAAGAAAGGACTATGGAGCTTGAATGCAGATCAAAGCATACTGCTTGCTATTTTTTTTCTTCTGTTGTGTTTTGTGTCCTTTCTGGTGGTTTCTCCTATTGGTTCTAATTCTTACTTACAACATCACTAATGTGAAAATGTGTTTAATAGGAATGTATATGTATAGCCTCTATCAGATTGTGGGCCATCTTGGGGAGGGAGGTTAGGAGGGAAGGGGAGAAAAATTTAAAACTCAAAAGCTTATGGAGGTGATTGTTGATAAATCAAAATAAATTAATTAAAAAAAGAATGAAAGATGAACAGAGAAGATCTGCAAACAAAAAAGGAAATGCCCAAAGAGCTAATAAGGAATGCTTCTTGAATAATAAATAATAACAGCAATAGTAGAAAAACCACCTATAGGTTCCTTACCTGGAAAATGAGAATAATGCATGCACTGTCTAACTTCAGAAGGCTGTCATGAACAAAAGGCTTTATAAGCTCTCTTACCTCTTCTAGTTTGTACTTCAAAACCCTTCAATATCTTCATCCATCCTTTCCCCCTTTCCTCCAGTATCTGAGGAAGAGGTCGTTCTTTTTCTTTACTCCCTCCCCTACCTCCCTAAGACTGGTCCCTTTCTCTCACTGTTAAGTTTTCCTTCTCTATACCTCCTTCCCAGCTGTCTGTACAAACATGCTAGTCTATCTCATTCATAAAAAACCTTCCCTTGACCCTGCTATCCCCCGACTTACCCTTCTTTTAGTCTATACTGCCACACTCGTAGAACTGTGTGTCCTCACTCTCTCTACTTCCTCACTCCCCAGGCTTTTCTTAACCCACATCTTGAACTGGAACCTTTCTCCAAGGTTACCAATGACCTCTTCTCACTGATATGATGGCTCAACCTCTGGGTTGCTTCCAACACTACTAAGGACCCCTGTCTTCCTTAGGCTTCCATGCTGCTTCTGGCTGTCCTCTGATTGCTAGCTCTTCATCCATCTCCCACCACGTAAGCATTAATGACAGATGGCCAGAGCTCTTTCATGGGTTCTCTTTTCCTATTTCCCAAGGGTCAAAGCAAATTCTCTACATCTGCAGAAATCATCTATGGATGATCCCCAAATTATATATTCAGATCTAACCTCTCTTTCTGAACTCCAGTCTGATGTTAACTGCTTGCTTGAATTCTTCCCCCTATGTATCTTGCAGGCTCCAAACAGAAACCCTGTTACCCTCCCTCCACATGCTATGTCTGTTGAGGGCACCAATACACACCCAGCTCACTAGGTTCTTAACTTCAGGGTCACCTTTGGCTCTTCCTCACATATCCAATCAGTTGTTCAGCCTTGTTGATTTTACCCAAACATCTCTGGCAACCACCCCTTTTCCTCTATTCATACAGCTACCACTGCGATGTACGAAGTCTCACCTGAAGTACTGTAACAGCAACCCAATTAGTCTTTCTGCATCCTCTACCCCCAATTGTCAGCATTTTTCTCCCTTGCCCCCTGAAGTTACTTTGTAAATATTCTGTATCAACCAATCAATAAACATGTATTAAGTACTTAGGACTTGAAATGTGCCAGGCACCCTGTTAGGCACCAAGGATACAAAGAAGACTGGCCCTGCCTCAAGGACTGTACAGTCTAGCTGGGATTACCTGTGTACATCAACAGACACAGATAGAGATACAAGGCACTAGGGGGAGAGGAGACCAGCAGCTGCAGGGAGAGGGGGAAATCAGGAGAAGCCTCATGTAGAAAGGCTTGGGCTGAGCTTTGAAGTAAACCAAGGATTCTGAGAGACAAAAATGAGGTGGAAGTACATTTCCAACCTGGGGTACAGTCACTGTAAAGTCATTTAGTCAATCAACACGCACTTATTAAACACTATACAGAAAGCATTGTCCTGAGTACCAAGGATATAAAGAAAGACAAAACCCCAGTCTCTGAATTCAAGGAACTCACATTCTAATGGGGACAACCACGAAAATAATTAGCTATACAGAATGCCTTGTGAGGAACATCTAGAAGACAAGTTTTGGCTGGACGATAATACGCATGGGGAGGGGAAGGGAGGGTCGTGGAGGATGTAATGTGCCATAAGCCTAAAAAGGTAGTTGTGGCTCAGTTGCAAAGGGATTAAGTACAAATAGAGAAGTTTTTATTTAATTGCTAGAGTCAACAAGGACCCACTGGAGCTAGAGTAGGGGCTAGGGACGCCCATCAGAATACCATTTAGCATTGTTCCCTCTCCAGCCCAGCCCCCTTCTTGAAGGAAAGAGCAAGAAAGGAATGGTTCTCACTGGCACCACTGCTGCTCTAAGCAAAACTGCCTCCAAGTTTTAATTTGTAAATGTACAGTGGACAGCTGTATGGAGAGGGAGTACCAGCAGACAGTCCAAGAGCTGCACTGCTGTCTATCAGACAGTAAAAGAACCATACATTCCTACGTGCCTTCTTCTGGTCCTGCCAGGTCTCACCCCATCATCATGCTGCTCGATCAGATCCAGAAGCTCCCTTTTCCCTGCAGGATAGAATACAAACTCCTCTGGCTATCAAAGCCCTTCACAGCATGTGATCTAACCCTTCTAGTCCTGATGAATACTGCTCACCCTGCGGCACAATGCTGTGTGTGCTGAGGCCAACTGGCCTCCTCTCTGGCCATCTTCCTTGCTGAGAACGCCCTCCCAATCTCACCTCTGCCTCTTGGCTTCTCTGGCTACCCTCAGGACTCAGCTCAAATCTCACCTTCTCCAACAGGCCCTTCCCAGCTCTCCCACTGCTAGTTCACGGTACAAGGTGTTTCCTCACTGCAAGTTCCCTATGCCAGTGCAATCACAGGGCAAGCTCAATTTTTTAAAAAGCACCCAGAGCTTCATAGGATCCGCAGGCCTGGAAAGAACAAAATCTAAGAAGCAAACTAGATTCTCAGGGCCAAAGAGTTCCAAATTTGAACTTATCACTAACACAACCTCCCCATACCTCAACTATTTCGAGTGTAAAACAGAGAATAACACAAATATACCATACAGGGCTACTGATAAAGAGAAGAAAAATAATCCAAAGCAGCTTTTGCAAATCCACAGCGAGGAACAAAAGCCTCTGCAAAGTAAGAATGCCACTTACGTTGTCCCGTCGGTTTCCCCAAACCGTTGGTAGGAGCTCGAGCTGGGGAAGTCATCTAGTCCATTGGAAGGGGACTCAGTCGGGCTCACCTCCGTCGAACTGTAGTCATTGTAGCTTTCATTCCGCAGTTGCTGAGTAGACATGGTGCCTGGGGGAACAGGAGCAGGGTTAAGGCCTTCAGCAGCCGTGGCTCTTAACTCTAGCCCCTTGGTTGGCTCTTGGGCAGGAGCAGCCATGGCTGCAGGTCCTAAGAGTGGCCACTATGTATGGATTAAGTACAGCACTGCAGCCTGGCACTATATAAAACTGAGAAGGTACAAAGTACACATGGTTGGGCAAAGCTCACTGCTTTTATATTGTTCTTCCCAACTTTTTATTCTGAGAATATTCATAAATTTCTAAATTTGCCACAACACATTTAGTTAAAAGTGAGAACAGCAATGTTGTCAGATAGGAAAGAAAGAACTTTTCACTGGGGTCCACAGACAGGTATCAAACGCTTCCCCACCATACTTCCTTTTAAATAGGGGCAACTAGGGACCTCACCCCTCTGAGTGTGTAGAGCTTTTTGCTTCCATTAACTCCAGCAATCTTAAGAAGTAATGGCAGATGGCTAATATGGAAATGTTTTGCATGATTTCACATGTATAATTGATATCAAATTGCTTGCCTTCTGAGGGGGTACAGAGAATTTGGAACTCAAAATTTTAAAGAATGATTGTTTAAAAAAAAATTTTTTTTACCTGTAATTGGGAAATATTTAATGAAAAAAAATTTTTTTTTAGGCAATTGGGGTTAAGTGACTTGCCCAGGGTCACACAGCTAGTAAGTGTGTCAAGTGTTTGGTCTGAGGCCAGATTTGAACTCAGGTCCTGCTGACTACAGGGCCAGTGCTCTATCCACTGTGCCACCTAGCTGCCCCTGAAATACTTTTTTTTTAAAAGAAGAGATGGCAAAAACAGCAAGAAGTCCTATAAGACTAGAATGGAGAAGCATTGCTGCTATTCTCTCTCATCCTTTTTTTTTTTTTGAGCAGAGGTATTTGCAGAGATAAAGGGGCTCTTTTTTGTGAGGGTGAGAGAACTGGGGAAAAGGGAAAATAATGGTGTCTGCTGGAGTTAGGAAGGCAGAAGAGAAGGGGAAAGGTATAGTCCCTATGTGGTCTGCCTCAGTGATGCTACAAAGGGTGGGGGTGGGGGATGAGGGAGGAAGGCAACTATTTCTCTGAGGAACAAATCAAGACCACATCTTGGTAGTCATTGCCCTATATTCTTCCCAAAGGACAGCTTGAAGAACACAGGGGAGGTCATTGAAGCATTTGAATGGGAACAACTCCCCCAAAGTATGTAATAAGGCTCTGCTCACCAATAAAGGATAATACTCAGTCTATCTGCCTGATAAGATTCTACATGGTCTCAGAGAACTAATGAAGAGACAGGACTCATTGACTCCTAGCTTCTCACCCATGTACCTTCCACTCTCTCAACTGCATCCAACTCCAACTGCTAAAGGGAAAAGTCTACCATTCAGTCAGGAAGCCAGACCTGCAGTATCGTGTTTAATTCCATGGGCCACATATTAGGCGGAACAAGTTGAGGTATGTTTGGAGGAAGATGACTACGACAGTTAAAGGAAATAAAAATCCACACCACACGAAGATTAGTTGAAAAGACTTAAGAAGGTTAAGAATCTGAATGGCTATTCTTTTTGTTTATGCTATTGAGACATGGAGCTTATAAAACCTGAAAATAAGGTTTTGTTAGAGGTTCCAGAAGAGATAACATGAGGTCATGCTAGCCCACTGATGCATCTGCAAGACAACAAGGTTCTAAAAGAGATAGAGATATATAAAAGATACCTATCAAGTGAGAGGTTGAATTTTTGATTGCACAGATGGATTTTATCAGCAACATTTTACCAATTATAAGCATCCCAGGCTTCTTGAGTTCGACAAATAACTGATATGGTTTCAAGGTTATGTAGGACTCATTTACTGTTTCATTTTCTTCCAAATTTAGTACACTGAACAAAGTCAACTGTGATCATAAGAATAGAGAAAAGAAACCTATCTGTAAGTCATTTAAGACACATAAAGAAAAGAGGTATGAATACATACCCTTCCCTCATCCCCAGCAAGAGTCATAATGTCCAGTTTGAGGACAATACTTACAACATTAAGAATACCACCTGCTACTTAACTACATCTGAATAGGCCAAGATTCTAGCTTGTTGGGAGCTCATTAGGAACACTTTTTCTTCAAAGCTGTAGCTATCCTATGGATAAGGCCATGGAAGGCGCTGCTACAACAAGGGCTATGGCTCTTACAACTAAGATGGCTACCTGAGAAGGCACGCTGCCCGGCTCCCAAATCTCTTACTCTAGCAACAAGCCAAAATTGGCGCTACACAAAATAATAATCAAGAAATCTTTTACCCCAGAACTGTACAAAAAAGTCAGCCAGAAGGCCCTGGGCAGCAGGAAAGGGAGCAACCACAGACAGGCTAGAAACATGTGCAGTTGGCAGGGCTCTCTGCCAACAAGAGTGGTGGGCCCTCCTGCCCCGGAGGAAAAAGGGAAAAACCGCATCTGAGTGACAGAGACCCTGAAAACCAGGATAAATCAGACCGATATCAATGACGCCCATGAAACACTAAGGCTTCAACATAGCTGTCATCCCTTCAGGGATCGATAAACAGAAAATGTGGATTCCAAAATGTTAGGGCCAGAAGGAGTTGCCCCAGGTCTAGCCAATCCACTGATCTCCAGGAAAGACTATCTTAGGCCCATGCCAGGCAGAAGGCATCTTTGTTATTCACACAGCTCTTCAAACGCTCCAGTTTCGTTCATTGGATATCTATTAATTGCCTGTTTTGTGCAAAGCCCTCTGCTAAGTTGGAAGACATGGAATGATTAGATAAAATATCACCCCTTCTTTCAAGAAAGTTATTATCCCCTAGAGAGTCCATAAATTCCTTCAATGCTTTGTTTTGCAGGCTCCTAACCCAGGGTGGATGGGTTATGTACTTTGGAAAATCTAAGGGAATAGAAGAAATCAGTGTGGCATGGCAGCACCCAGACTAAGACGGCACAAAACCCTTCAGGTTCTGAGGTTATTAGTATTCTAACCTGAGACACCCTGAAGGGCCCTGATATTGTAGCACTCTGACCCTCTAAAATACAAGGGGATATAATGCCCTCGCACAGGAATCCAAAAGTAGAGAAAGATGCAGAGCCTGTCCCCGACACAAAGCCCTAGTTTAGGAACTAAGTCTGGAGAGATGAAATCAACCAAAGAAAATGCCAATCAATATAAAAAATTACTGTAGATCTAGAGATCCTCAAAAAGAGGAAGAGTTAATTAACCCCACAACAACTATAGGTAGAGACTCAAAGGAAAAAAAATGAATTTTCCACAAGAAACTACATGAAAACATAGAAGAAACTAAGCAAGAGACAAAAAATTAAATAAAAGCTCTTAAGGAAAGAGTGAAAAAAAAATAAACAGCTAGGAGAAAATATAATGAACCCCCAAATAAGAGATTCTCTGAAAACTAGAATATTAGAACAAAATCAAAAGAAAAAAACAGAAGAAAATGTAAGGTATCAGCTGTTTAAAAAAAACACCCAAACACACCTAAAAAAACAGGTCAAGGAGAGAAAATCTAAAAGTCATTGGATTCCCTAAACATCATGACTTTTTTTTAAAAAGCCTGAGCATTATGTTTCAAGAAATCATAAATGAAAAATGCCAAAATATAGCAGAACCAGAAGAAGAGGTGAAGATAGAAAGAATCTACCACTCATCTCCTTGAAAGAAACCAAAAGGAAATGTCCAGAAATGCCATTGGCAACATTCAAAGCTCCCATATCAAAGAAAAAATACTGCAAGGATCCAGAGGGAAGGAGTTCAAATACAAGGAACCACAGTTAGGATTACCCAAGTCCCAGCAGCTTCTACAGTAAATGGAGGAAACGTCATTATAAAATATTTGAAAATGCAAGAGTTAGAAACTAACAACCATGAGTAACTTACCCTGAAAGGCTGAGCATAATCCTACAGAGGGGGCAAAAAGACCCATATACTTAATTGAATAGAGGTCTTTCAAACATTTCTGATGAATAATCAGAGCTGAGTAGGAACTCTGAAATGCAAAAACAAGAATCAAGAGAAATCTAGAAAATTAAATTTATTTGAGCAATTGGAAGAAGCTGTATGATGTGATGCTAAGATTCTAATAGGGGAGAAGAAACAATTGTCCCACAGAAGACTTGGGCATGGACTGGTTCTGTTCTGCGGGTTTGAAGAAAAGAAAGCGAAGGGAAAATAAAAAGAGGAATCCACTGATGTAAAAAAAGAGGAAGAAGGATGAAGGAAGAAGGAGGAAGAAAAGGCTACTTCTCACAGTTGTGTTGCAGGGGAACATGCAAATATGGAGGAAAGGGGGAAAGTAGCCATCAGATAAACCTCACTCTTGTCTGAAATGGACAAAGGACGGCAGAACATACACAGTTTGCATAGAAATACATAAAACTCAAAAGGTAAACAAGAGGATGGAGAACACGGGTGTGTGTGGGTGTGGGTGTGGGATGGATGTAAGCAGAAGGATAATGCCAGGGAAAGAACAGTGGCAAGAAAAACACATTTCCTAATTCTAAGAGAGGGGAAGGGAGGGGGGGAAAGAGAAGGGAAGGGAATGAAAGGAAGAAAGACGAGGGGAGGGAAGAATTAGAATCTGAGGAGGTATCCATCAATCAGGGAATGGGTGAACAAACTGTAATATATGGATATAACGAATGGACTATTACTGCCCCACAAAGATGGTGAGACAATTTCAGAGAACCCTCGGCAGCAAACTGGGTAAACAACTTAAACAAGGATAACACTCTGTAAAGAAAAATAATCTTAAAGACTTAAGAACTCAGATCAGTACAGTAACTTATCATGTCGACACTCTGTAGAGTGTACCTATGAGGACACATGCTATTCACTTCCTGACAAGGGATGGATTCAAGGTACAAAAACAAACATACAAAGAGACATACATGGCCACTGTGTGGACTCGTTTTGCTTCACTATGCTTGTTTATTACAAGGGTCCCCCCACCTTTTAGTTCTCTCATTTTTTTAAGAGTCAGGGACTGGTAGGG